GGGCTCAGCAGTCTGTCATAACAAGCTAGAAACATGCTAACATATTAGCAGTTGTTTGGAAACCTTAACATGACAAAATATGCTAGCAGTGTGGAAAATCATATAATCATATTAGAAATATGCTAGCAACATGTGAACAGTGAGCTAAGTTATGCTAAAAACCTACTAGCAGCCTGTAAATGTTTGCTAAAACATGCTTACATATTAGTAGTTTGAAATGGAGTTAGAAACAATAATGTGCCAAAACCTGCCAGCAGAGAGGAGAATCACATTAGAAACATGCTATAAACATTCTAAACATGTTAACAGTCTGCTAATCATTCCACAAACACACTAGCTATGTATAAAAACATGTTTTTAATTGTTTTAGAGATGTCAACACCATAACATGCTAGCAGAGTTGTCAGTCACATTACAAAAATGCTAGCAAAATGCTAAACACGAAGAATGGGCTTAATAGTCCTAGAAATGTACTAATAGTGTGTTTAAACATGCTAGAAACATGGTAACATTACATAATACATTACAGTATGGTGACAATCTGTCAACAGTGTTAAAACATGCTAGAAAACATAACATATAAGCAATTTTAAATTGTTTTAGAAATGTCAACACCATTTAGCAATGTAGCAGAGTTAAAAATTACATTACAAACATGCTAGCAACATGGTAAACATGTGAAGAATGGGCTAAATCATCCCAGAAATGTTCTACCAGTGTGTTTAAACATGCTAGGAACATGTTAACATAACATAGTACATACCAGTAGAGTAACGACCTGTCAACAGTATTAAAACATGCAAGAAAACAGATGATTTATGTTTAAATAATTATTATTTTACATTATTATTGTGAGTTTTTTTTTAAATCTGAAACAAATGCAGTTTTTGGTCTTAATAGTGTGTGCATCCCTATCCTTCATTAAAAGCCAAGTAACCACATTCTATTCCTTTTGTTAAATATTTTGAGACTTGGGAATAATAGCATATATCCTACTTCATGCCTATTAAATTACATTTCCCCATTAATTCAGCTTAGTGTTAGTAAATGCTCTTTCTGTACAAAACGATGTTCCGCAAAGATTACCTTTTAACGCTAATCTCTGAATAAATATTTACAGGTTGTTGGTAAGCTATATATAAGTGTAATCTTTTTTTTCTTACTCTTTCAACCCCAAGCACAACAGAGACTTTCCTACTATATTTTTCAGAGTAAATTTAGTAAGTTTGCTACGTCCACCTAATGCGCTTGAAAATAGACTGTGGGCAATCATAAAGTGCGAGTGTCGCCTGGGAGGGGAGACATTTAAAGCAATGATAATATGCATTTGCATTTAATTTAAGCATCACACAGTATTACAGTCTTTATGAAGTGAATATTATGTTATCACAAATTGTGAAATAAATTTTCTTTTGTTGAATAAATGCTTTGAAATGGGGATATTTAAACGTCGGTTGTGGGTGATGACCGCATGGCGCAACTCTCCGCCAGAGAGAGCCCGAGAGACAGGCTGCAAAAGCTGTTTGGATCCTCTTTGTGCAGTGATGATGTTTAATTTCATAAAAGGTCAGTCAAGTTAGCGTTAATTTGCATGAATTGAATGTTTTTATATTTTAAATTGTCATGCTGTAATAAAATAAACATGATATAAAAATGAAATGATTGTGAAGCTATTTCATTTAAACTTTCATAAAAGAGTCACTAAATATATCATTAACTTCAAGTAAGCACAATAATAGTATATTCTGACGTAAGATTTTAAGAAGACTTCAAACAATGCCCATTTTTGCCAGTGAATAAAGTTAGGCGCCCTGTACGGAACAGTATTTTAGTCGTGTACAGAACACTGTTAATAATAGCCTGATCTCACGAGAAAATGTTAAGTATTTTACGTTTTGCCAGTTTAGTGGCTAATTCGTACAAATTCGTACGAGTTCAGTTGTTCGAAATTGTACGATTTTAAAAAGGAGGTGTGGCACCTAACCCCACCCCTAAACCCTACCGTCATTGGGGGATGAGCAAGTCGTACTAACTTGTATGAATTAGATCGTACGAATTCATACGAATTAGCCACTAACCCAAAAAGTTACGAATTGCCGTGAGATTGTCTTGTTAATACCTATTATCTTCTGTGCATGCGAAGGCGGTACTTTTCCCATCTTTTCTCAAAAACTACTGGTCCAAAAGACATCAATCAAGATTTGGATTGTGCAATAGGTATTCCCTCAGAGAATGAACACACAAACATGCTTTTCTGGCTTTCAATGACGGAGGAGTGGTTGTTTGAGTGCGCTGAATAGCGAAAACTGTACAGAACATGGTTAGTTAGATTCTTCAAGTTTGACTTCCCTATTTCCCATTTCCCAACAAAAAATGTGATTTGACCCCCTTATACCAGAAAACAGGTGGTACTTAATGGGATTTCAAGGTATGTTGTTGAGTTTGGAGTCTTTCTTTGTATTTCATCAGGTTTATTGATTTACAGTGCAACTCATATCCTCTCATACAATTTTAACATGTAGAAAGGAAATTGTCTAAGGTATAATCATAGTGACTGAGGGGCAATCACTCTAGGGCAGGGGTCACCAAACTTGTTCCTGGAGGGCCGGTGTCCTACATATTTTAGCTCCAACTCTAATCAAACACTCCTGAACAAGCTAATCAAGGTCTTACTAGGTATACTTGAAACATCCAGGCAGGTGTGTTGAGGCAAGTTGGAGCTAAACCCTGATGGGACACCGGCCCTCCAGGACCGAGATTGGTGACCCCTGCTCTAGGGTATAAGCCTACTTCTTACAGTAGTTGTATTTACAGACTTGTTAAAGGTTAACATGAATTAAACCCATTTTTCATCATTTTTATGTTCCTTGAAAAATGTTTGACCTTTCAGTTTAAACGGTGATCTTTTTTTCTCGTTACAGATTATTTGTCATCATCTATTAGTGTTCAAGGACAACAATAAACCTTAAAGTTTATCTTGAGGGTCATATAAGCCACGCAACATGGAAAAACCAAACAGTTCTACATTTCAACCAAGCATATGTACCAGAAATCGCGGACATTTTGGTCACGTTCAATGGAACACAAGAGCAACCGCCCACAGGATCCCTACCAGAATCGATCAAATTTCGAGAGAGCTCCAAAGACTTGGACTTGATGCTTGTTTTATCCAAACTGTGACGCTGACAGAAGTGTTTTGTGGAAAGAAGAGGTATAAATGCTCAGGCTGCCTGCGCTACTATGAGGATCTGGAGTGTCTGATGGCACACATAATGCAAGGTTGGAAAGAAGGATACAGCTGTAGAGTTTTCTACCGTAAGCTTAAGGATATGAAGGACTGTCAGGTGTTGCTGACCATGTATGAAGAAGAACCTTCCGAATTCGAACCTCAGCTTAGTGGATCTTCGATTCTGATACCGAACACCAGAAATGAGAAGCTGGACATGGTCCTCAGGTGGATACAGAAGTGCATGTGCTGTTGCTGCCATTGATTCATTAAAACGTTTATGGCACATTTGTTGGAATTAATATCTTGCTTAGTGTTAGAAAAATGGTTGGAGTGAAAAAGAGTACACTGATTTTAAATTTTGGGATGAATTGTAACATCAATATGCATAAATGACTCTTTAATCTGAGAGGATGATGTTTAGCCTTCTGAATTAAACACTTAATCAGGTTGCATCAAGAGCTAAAAATATCCAAGGCAGCTTTATGGATTGTGACGCTGCATTAACATCTATAATTATTCCGCGAAAATTACTCGCAGCGTAAACAATGATACCGTTTCCTATTTGGGATGAGTCTGAGAAGTGGAGAAAATCTGACAGGGTGATGAGCACCGTCAGAACGCATATCACACTTGCATGGCAAAGTATGGAATCTGCATATCCATCCACGGCAAAACCAATGCTCGTGGCATTTCCTGTCAAGAGAACATTTGATTCTGGGAGGGGGAAAAATTTGCACGACACATTTGAAACAGATTTTTTACAGGCATCCATCCATCCCTTCATCCATCTGCTTGTCTTTTTTCCATTCATCCATCCTTCATATCTACTTTTCTTTTTCCATTAGTCTATTTATATTACCAACAATCATTTATCCATCAATATTTATAAGTTTTCATCCTTCCATCCTTTTCACCCATCCATCTATCCAACTCAGGCTGATTCTATTACGTACCGCTATATACATTTCTGAAGAGCGCCAAATACATCCCAGGAGGTACTTTTTTGCAGTTTTTGTTTTCGTATGTCCACTAGAGGCCGCTGTGTATGCAATTTCTGATGTCAAATTTCTCTCACAAGTGCCATTCTCACGTAAATCCATTAGAGGCTGCTGTCGACTGACTGATTTACGGACTTACCAACTGACCAATCTCACACCTCCCTCCACTGATTGACTAAAAATCTAGTTTTTGTGATATTTTGCTTAAAATGGACCTTTTTTTTCCTGAAAACAAGAATATTTTTGGCTTGTCTGGATTTAAGGATTTTTACATATTTGAACTAGAGACAATACAAAAACTCAAAGCATTTTAGCAGTGTATCCATACGTATATTATGGAAGTTTTTTCCTAACAAAATTAAAATGAAAATTCAAATGCTTAAAAGATCAAATGATAAATCAAATGCTCCAACCGACATTGCAAATGATAAATCAAATCCTCAAACTGACTCTGCAAATGATAAATCAAATGCTCAAACGGACTTTGCAAATGGTGAATCAAATCCTCAAACCGACTCCTCAAATGATAAATCAAATCCTCAAACTGACATCGCAAATGATAAATCAAATCCTCAAACTGACATCGCAAATGATAAATCAAATCCTCAAACTTACATCGCAAATGATAAATCAAATCCTCAAACTGACATCGCAAATGGTGAATCAAATGCTCAAACTATAAATCAAATCCTTAAATCAACATTGCAAATGGTGAATCAAATGCTCAAACAACTCTGCAAATGGTGAATCAAATGCTCAAACGACTCCGCAAATGGTGAATCAAATGCTCAAACAGACATCGCAAATGATAAATCAAATGCAAATGAGGTGTCAATCAACCAGCATAGGCGGAGCTTTAAGGCGGAAGAGTTTGTTGTTGACAACAACCGGTAGCGCTACGACTTTTTCAAGGCGTTCAGATTTGCGTGCACTATTCCACGTCGTATCCATATAAACTCGTGAAAGAGAAAGCGAGAAATCTCCTAATGCTTCTGTCCACATTCTGAAGTGTTCATCAGATGGGTACATCTATCACAGGAGGCCACGAAAAACCATACGATAACCAAGATGATAAAAAAGTTACATAACTGACGTTACAAGCGCAACTTTAAATAAATGGTAGGTTTATTAAATTGTTAATTTAAAATAATATTTTATTACATAAGATATCCTTGTCAAATGTAACCTAATTTGTTGTTACCTTTATTGTGTAACTTTTTTATTCACATGTAGAACATGCTTAAAGTTAGTTTTCCAGTCTTGTTTGATTATATAATCATATATTCTTATATCAAAAGAAAATCTATTACATTTGTTCTCTTTTTGCTGTTTATGTTAATTGTTAAGATACAGCAATGTTTCCCTAAGCCTGTATGAAATTTTTATTTCTGCATAATAATGATTAATAATAATTGTTATTGATAACAATCCCATAATAATACAAATAAAATAGCATGGACAGAAGCAATAACACCTAATAGCATCATTAACTTGATAACCCTACCTGATAGCCTTTCTAATGTTGGCACATTGGTACATCTGCACAAAGATGTCGGACAGCTGCTTGAAGATCTTCCTTTGGAGAAATTTTACACTCGAAAAATGTGAGTATTTACTCTAGACTGCAAAGCCCACCCCAACACTTACAAAAATAATAAATGCTGCTCACAAACAAACACACACACACACACACACACACACACCACAGCTATGCATGAATAGTCACTAGACAAATGTAGCCAAGGTGAGTACATCTTAATTTCCAGTCAAAAAATGAAATAATGTAGTTATACATTATTGAAATTATTAATGTATTCATCAACAATTAAAGAAAATATGAATGTATGATTAAAAGAATTAATAATAGTAACCATGATAAATAAATACAAGTCAACAAGATACGAAACTAAGCTTTATTCAAACTTATTCAAACAATCATGTATTTCAGACAAAACCCCATGTTCTGCTGCATGCTGGACTTCTGGACTTCACTTGTTTTTGCCATCACATCCCTCAGTGCTGCAGTCAGACTGGAACAGAGTTGTGAGGTGAGGCTGTCCATGCCTGAGAAACCGATTCATACTGAAGATGAAGAGACCACACCAGCATCTGGCTCAGATGAGGACACGCAGGCAGGTGGAGGGATGCAGGGTCTTGTCCATGGCACTAGCATCTTCAACATTTACTTCATCAGCACACTGCTGTTCTTCATCATCATCACTGCACACACCAGTCTGAGGACATTTCAGATTTTGCAAAGCTCTTAATAAAGAAGTCATTTAACAGCACACTTTTTGAGTTTCATTTGAGTTCTGAATTGGAAGTAATAACATGATCTTACTTCATGTTTTGAATTCAGGTTTTCTCTGTTTTCTTGCCTTGCAAGTCCTGCTCCAGCCCAGAAATGGCATATAAATCAACATTAAATAAATTGTTGTAATAGCAGTTTGAAACAACAATATTAAACAAATATGATGGTAGCATTTGTTCAGTCACTCTGCATCAGCTAACACACAAACATGTGTGCTTCCTTCTCTATAACAACCAGACAAGTCATGTTACCTCTGTGATTTGTGTGCTCAAAATTATACTTTCATAAATGTATCACCAAATGAACAGAAGAAAACATTGCTGTATTAATATTACATGTATCTAACCTAAGCTGTATTGACAAAAGTGCATTCTACATCAACACAAACAAATCACTCAGACGTCTGTTTAATGTTATAATTTGCTAATCTGCAATACCTCCTATATTTTTCTGTCAGACATTGAATAATCGTCTTTATGTAAATTAACGTTTGAAACGTCATGTGCTTACAGAAGTTCCTACATTATCATTTACAGCAAGATAAAATAAATATACTGTAAAGCATCTTTACACTTTCAGTAATTCTACAGTTCACTGTACAGTAGCTCAACTATTGCTATTTTACTGTAACTTAACTCAAGGAACCGTCTTTCTGGATTTAATTACTTGCATGTAAGAAGTCTAAATCCATCCAGTTTTCCACAATGTGACGTAGCATCATCATCTTTCCGTATGGTTTTTCGTGGCCTCCTGTGATAGATGTACCCATCTGATGAACACTTCAGAATGTGGACAGAAGCATTAGGAGATTTCTCGCTTTCTCTTTCACGAGTTTATATGGATACGACGTGGAATAGTGCACGCAAATCTGAACGCCTTGAAAAAGTCGTAGCGCTACCGGTTGTTGTCAACAACAAACTCTTCCGCCTTAAAGCTCCGCCTATGCTGGTTGATTGACACCTCATTTGCATTTGATTTACCATTTGCGATGTCTGTTTGAGCATTTGATTCACCATTTGCGATGTCTGTTTGAGCATTTGATTCACCATTTGCGGAGTCGTTTGAGCATTTGATTCACCATTTGCAGAGTTGTTTGAGCATTTGATTCACCATTTGCAGAGTTGTTTGAGCATTTGATTCACCATTTGCAATGTCGATTTAAGGATTTGATTTATAGTTTGAGCATTTGATTCACCATTTGCGATGTCAGTTTGAGGATTTGATTTATCATTTGCGATGTCAGTTTGAGGATTTGATTTATCATTTGAGGAGTCGGTTTGAGGATTTGATTCACCATTTGCAAAGTCCGTTTGAGCATTTGATTTATCATTTGCAGAGTCAGTTTGAGGATTTGATTTATCATTTGCAATGTCGGTTGGAGCATTTGATTTATAGTTTGAGCATTTGATTTATCATTTGATCTTTTAAGCATTTGAATTTTCATTTTAATTTTGATAGGAAAAAACTTCCATACTATGGTGCATTTTTTTTTTTTAAGGAAAGACTTGGGTAACACCTTATTTTGATGGTTGAGTATCAGTAGACTGTCTGCTTAATATCTGTTAATACTGCTCGCTCAACAGTAATTTAATTGACTAGAAGAAATTTTAAAAGTACATTTCAACTTACACTAACCCCAACCCTAACAGTCTACTTATAATCTAATGAGAATTAGTTGGCATGTAGATGCAATGTAACTTAAATTCAACTAATGGACCATCAAAATAAAGTGTGACCAAATTATAGGATTCAATCCTTATCGGATTGAAGTTTTTTTCTCCTGAAAACAAGACTTTTTTTTTTTTTTTGCTTGTCTAGGAAATGCTTCTTGATGTAAGGAATTTTAGTTTTTTCAACTTGAAATAATACGAAATTATTATCAAAGCATTTTAGCAGTGTATCCATAAAGCCATCCAATTTCCCCATTATGTTTTATTTCTTATACATAATTTTCCCATCCATCCATCTTTTTCTATTCACCATCCTTTATATCTACTTTTCTCATCTGTTTATCCAATCATCTTTCTATTCATCATAATCTATAAATCTATAAATCTAATTTTCCCATCAATCCATTTATTTACATTTATCAACTATTTATCTATCAACATTTTCAATTTTCCATCCATCCATCCATCCATCCATCCATCCTTGTATTTAATTTTCCCATCTATGGTGGGAAAAAAGTCTATGAAGTTTTTGCTATATTTTACATAGTTTCAAACTGAAAACTTGCTTAAAATTAACTTGTTTTTTCTGCAAACAACAATATTTTTTTTTGTTTGTCTGGAAAATGCTTCTTTATTAAAGGATATTTTTAGATATTTGGACTAGGAACAATAAAAAAAATAAAAATAAAAATAAAAAAACTCAAAGCATTTTTGCAGTGGATCCATACATCTATCCAATTTTCCATCATCTATCATTTCTTCTAGTTTCCCATCCCTACATCAAATTGTGTTATCCATTAATGTATTCATTTTTTCTTACACATACATCAATTTATTTATTTTTCTTTCCTTTCATTCATCTTTCATCTATTTTCCCATCCATCCATCCGTCCATCCATCTGCTTTTATTTTCCATTCACCCATCTTTCATATCTTCTATTCTTATTTATCTATCTGTGTCCATCATATATAATATTCGCATCAATTCATTTAATTCCAAGTTTTCATCCTTCCATCCTTTTCACCCATCCATCTATCCAGCCCAGACTTATTCTGATTTTGTACCGCTATATACCGTGTCTATTTTCCCATTCATCCGTCCATCCATCAATCTGCTTTTCTTTTTCCATTCACCCATCCTTCATATCTTCTTTTATCATCCATTTATCCACCCATCTGTCTGTCCATCATATATAGTATTCACATCAATCCATTTATTTTACCATCAATCATTTATCCATCAATATTCCCATTTTTTCATCCATTCATCCCTCCATCCATCCATCCATCCATCCATCATTGTATTTAATTTTCCTATCTATGGTGCAAAACATCTATTGAATTTTTGTCATGTTTTGCCTAAAATGGGCTTGTTTTTTTCTGAAAAAAAGAATATTTTTCGGCTTGTCTGGAAAATGCTTCTTGATTTAAGGATTTTTAGATATTTGGATTAGACACAATACAAAAATTCAATAATTTTTACTGTGTATCCATACATCTATTCTATGTTCCTTCATCTATCATATAGTGATATGTGATCAGCCTTCCTATAGTCTATTTTTAGTTAATGTTATGGTGAATAGCTAAGGACATTTGCTATAAAGAAAACTTTGGCGCTAGACACAGAGACAGCTGACATAAATTTTAGGGAATAAAGCAACAAAAGTACTTTGACAACTTGAAATTTTATTTTAGACAAAAAATTTAATATGAAAACTTACCCATGCATTGGTGTCTTTTGTAGCCGTTATCGCCAAACAGTTGCACTGGTCTACCATCGAAATTGGAATTTTAACCCAACTAGGTGAGTTTATATCTAAGTTTTGCATCCATCCATCCATCCATCCATCCATCCATCCATCCATCCATCCATCCATCCATCCATTCATTTCCCCATGACTTCATTCATCTTTCATCTATTTCTCCTATTCATCCATCCGTCCATCTATCCATCCATCCACTGAGCTTTATCTCCATTGACATACTTAATGTCTTTGAGACGTGTTTTGTAAGGGAGACAGTTGCTTGCAGCAAGCAAGACACGGGAGATAAAAGGTATTTGTGATGTGTTCGGCAAAGAAAGAGGAGTGTCCTCTGACAGTTTTTATTTTGTGGTGGGAGACTGAAGCGCGAGTGCTTTGAAAGCTGTTTTACAAAGAATTCATGTGTCAGTCATGGCTCGCACATGACAGCCACCTAAAAGATTTGAGGAGATCCAGTGCTGACAGGCTTGGTGGCATCGCTGTAAAGCCCTCATCTATTTTTCTGTCAGGAGTTACAATCTCTTTGTTGCTGGATAGCGTAGATTACATATTCTCTCTTTTGAATATGTCAAGGATTCTTCAAATTCCCAGGGAAGTGCCGCTAAGACATTTGCATGTGCGCTAAACCCAATGTTTAGGTATCGCCGCTACAGGGCGTCCTGTCTTTCACTGACAGGACGGCTGGTGTTTCCTGCCACAATGGATTGGTCGGCTGTCTCAGCAGTAGGCGAGTGAGCCGCGAAGGGGTTTGTGTGCAGGGGGTGCCGGTGTCTTGCCAAGACACCGACCTTTTCAAAGAGAAAATCGATGAGGCCCAGCACCAGGACTCCGGAACATTCCTGCCTGTCAGGTGGGTGGGTGGAAGTTCATACAGGCAATGGTGGTGTGCTAATTGCTCAGGGTTGCTGGCGCCCCCACTGTTTTGGTGCAGGTGGTGCGGGTTTGTGTCTCTGCGGTGTCCACACCAGCTGTAGGGGGGCTACAGTTTCACACTGAAGTCTTGGCAAAGCATACTTATCTCCATATGAGACCACACCTACAACTTACACTCTATTAGCAACGTAGTCATGTGCCCTCACAGGATGAGCTGAAAGCGCAGATTAAGAATGATTTCTGTACTGACTCATGTACGCATGTAAAATTTATTGTTGCTGTGCTGGAGTGTTGTGGGTGGTTGCCATCCATCCATCATTCCCTTCATCCATTCATCCATATATCCATCCATCCATCCATCCATCTATCATATTAATTAATTCATCCATCCATCCACCCATCATATTCATTCATCCACCAATCTATCATATTTATTAATTCATCCATCCATCCATCTATCATATTAATTCAT